ATGAAACACTGATAAAGCTTTGACTTGCTTGGACCAAGAGAATAAACTATGTCATGAACAGGTATATACACCTCTACCCCGATATAACGCTGTCCTCAGGAGCCAAAAAGTCTTACCACATTATAGGTGAAACCGTGTTATATCTAACTTGCTTTGATCCACTGGAGTGCGCAGCCCTGCCCCCCCGGAGCACTGCTTTACCGCGTTATATCTGAATTCGTGTTATATCGGGTTGCGTTATGTCGGGGTAGAGGTGTATATTTAAGTGTTGACCAATCCCACATTCAATCCACAGTTCAGGTATCTGAAGCTTTTGCACATATGTAACAGCAAGGATTACCACACCTGTGTCAACTGCGTATATAAGAATTTTAGTACATCCTTGATTGAATTCTTCAGCAGCATAATGTATCATTCTGGTATCTGCTTCCTCATGATTTCATGAGGAAAGGCTAGTATTATGTTCAGGGTTGCAGCTTACATCTTGATGACCTGTGGAGATTACCTTTTTGCCTTCTACTGACAACTTTGAAATATATTTTGCAGGGAAGCTGAAGAATTCATTTTCATTGATGCACAGAAACTCTTCCCAGTTTAGTGGTAGAGGGATGTAAGGCATGGCACTCCTAGACTCCATTTCCTCTTCTATTTATGGTTTGGGCCTTGAAACTGTTAGCAATGTAAACATCCTACACTAGGTCCATCCTTCTATAATGCCACACCTGTGTCTTGAGGTATGGAATAAAAAAAAACACATAACACAGTCAAATGTACAGCTAGCAAGAGGTTTCAACATGTTTGCAAGAGCTGCCCCATCAAAAAATATGACATCAGTTGCTGGAGTTGTAGCTTGCAGTTTAACATAGCACTCCAGAATAGACAGCAGATCAGATTTCTTCCAAAGGCATAGTTTCTCATCTGAGACAATGAAGGGGGTCATGCCTGATTCTGATGCTGAAAGATATCATCCAGGTGGCCATGATGTTTTTGGCAAGCTATATACATTTTTGAGAAGAGGGAGCAGTCATTTTTCAAGGAGGAGAGCTGCAATTTGGTCTCAGAGATCTCCCTTGCAGGAGGTCTGCCTCAACAAGGGGAATTCACTTCACTTGATAGGCTCTGTGAATGGCTTAATTTTCTCTTGCAGTCTCTGTTACAAATGTGGTAACTTCTGCTGCCCTATCTTCTCAACCTCCCTACCAGAGACAATGACAAGGGGGACTGCAATGTCTTTGGTGTTCAGTTTGACTAA